ATCCAGGGGTGTCGCTTCGCATGCTTCCGGGGTGCCTGCAACCCCTCCCCCCCCCCTCAATGCTGACTTAAAGTGAATGTTCCACGTTATGAGATATTAAAGCCAGCATCAGATATTATGAAATCAGCTCACGTATAAGTTCTGGTATGCTTTTAGGTGAAAGGCTGTTCTAGAGAACACAATTTTTCATTGAATGGCTCGGCGAAAATATAATTTTTGGCCTTGCTTGCCGCATGACCTATGGGTGTCAGGATGTGAATGGCGTTGCTTTTGCGTCATGTACGGCTGCATGGCACTGAAATATTTTCAGCGCCAATTTGGGCGATGTGTTCTGGACAGATAAAAGGCACCGAGCATAAGAAAAGAGAGATTTTACGTTTGGCTGTCTAATTCCACCACCGGCATCAGTTGGCAGTGCTGTGGATGTTTATCCATTTCAATTTTGAATACATAAATTGCGCAGATGAAACATGCTCCCGGACTACGTTCTAAACAACGAATTGACATCCCAAAACGTTCGAAGGTATTTTTTACAGAAACGTTGCCTCCTTCGTTCGTTTACTGACCGCCGCCCTATATCAGCGAGCGGCCGACGCCATGCGGCCTGCGGAGACTGCAGCGCCAGGCGTCGAGTTTTTGTTGTCTGGAGAACCCGCGTGGTCAAAACTGTGCTGTGTAATTATTCCACTACTCGGCTCAGAAAAGGGTTGAGCCTTGGTAGACGAACATGGTCACTGAGAAGCCAGCTCATCTACCACTGTTCTTACAATCAACCTGCGTTACTCGTGATATTGTCATTGTGGTCGTTTCAGTATAGTTCATAGTTTGTCATCGAACTGAATCTGGTTCGGGTAGCTTTCCCTTCAGAGCCACAACAGCTTGGAGCAGTGACTCCCAGATATACAGTTAACTCGCAGTGCGTGTTTGATGAAGTGAGCGGGGAAAGGTATCATCAAGAGGAGGGCGCATGCCCAAGCATTTTGGAGAAAGGTTTTCCATTTTGCAGAATTGAAAAAAATTCTTAATTTCAGAACCATTTCCTCAAATGATACGTGGATGAGTGCTTATGTTTTGTTTTACATAAACTGAAAGGCATATCTTATATCAACTAAATTTTTGGTATGTCGAGAAGCTTCGTGTCAACGGGATTCAATGCTACGACTGTGGAGACTTCTTGTGTGTACATAATATGCACCAAACAATTACAGAAGCACAGAATGATAAATTGTGCGCAGAGAAAGAGGTGCAACTGCACCCCGTAATCTTCACAACATCTGTGCGTTTATAAAAAGTTGATGTCAACTGCCAGGCTTTCATGCGTGATTGCTGTGACTCCGATTCTAAGACTCTGGACCCCCAATCATTTTGAGAAATCGATACCGCTGGCTGTAGGTTAGCTGATGCTTAATCCTCCATTCCGAGGACGCCCAAAGAGTATCCGTTGCGTAAATTGTAAACAAGACGTCAGCCGCCAACGTCAACTGACGTAGCTTTGCAAGTTTAAAGCTGATTTGATGTAAAGACCACCAGACTTCATTCTCTAAATACCCGTTTCACGGAGGTAAAGTAACGTTTTTAGGCTGTAAAGTTTTGGAAGCTTGTAAAATAAGGAAAGGTAAGGAAGTTTTAAGGTAAGGAAGTTTTAGTGTATTATATATGCCACTTAAATTATTGTTTTCGTGGACTGCTATCAACATGCAGTAGCTAAAACAGGTTTACCGAGTTCGCTAAAAGTTAAAATGCGAAACGAGCCTCTTCACATGGAAGCAGAGAACAACTGACAGTTGTTCTTCAGTCCATCTCTTTAGCTCACCCAATCTCCAGGATAATACCAGCCCTGGCAAAGGTGTGGATCGGTCGCGTATTTATTCTGGTAGAAATAAGAACGTTTCTGGTGAAAATTGTCTGCAAAGCTATCAAATGACATAAGTTTTCTCGCCGGCCTGCTGGGTCCTGCAAGCCTTATATCAGCGCAAGAGCGCGGTGGCAGCGTTGTCATAAATAGTTCGTGAAGTCAACTTGGATCATAAGGCAACTATGCTGAGCGAGGCGAGCGAATCGCATATAGTCAAACTTCAAGCATCTTCAAGGGTGCGGGCCTGATCAGATTACCAAAACCTCATTCCCTCAAAGTACGTGCTTGGAGTTTGACAAAAAAGGCGAGTTTGCCTATTGCGGTCAATAATGGTGACAAATAGTGAGCTAAGCATGGACAAAATAGCACGTAGTGGCCCCTAAATGACTCACCAAAAACAAACCTGCGCAGGCTTTACGGTTGTAGTGTCACACTGTTCATTGGAGCTGAGGTGAACCGTGATATATTACCTATGAATTGCCGTGAGAGGTTTATTTGCAGATTAATCCCGTTCTTTTCTCAAAGTTCGGCGGAGGGGGGGGGGGGGGCGTACATTTTAAAACTTCACGCGTGAGATGTGTGCGTTTGTGTTTGACTGTGTTTATTGGGGACCCATTTCAAAGTTGCCTCGGCATTAATAACGTCACAGAAACGCCATGGGATCGCAGTCATGCTAGAGGCTGTTTTCTGCTGATGGTCAAAACAGCATGGCGGCTGGTACATTCGCAAAAGCGATGATCTGCCAAAAACCGCTTTCAGCATCCAGGCTGCTGAATACAGTTGAGCCAGCTAGGTTGGGCGCGACGCCATCCCGCGTTGGCAGCACCAGGTGCTCCCTCTTCCCAGCCTTATTCAGGCACGGGAGATCCACACATATCCTCACTTGGCCCTTGCTCTTCGTCACCGGCCCCGTTAGTGCACACCATTCTGTGCGCTTTGTCACCCATTCTATAACACCTTCTGCCAGTATCCTCTCCAGTTCAACTTTAACTTTGTCCATGAGCGGGAAGGGAACGCTTCGAGCTGTGGAAAGGCAGAACGGTTCAGCGTCATCCCTCAGCTCTGTCTTAACAGGTGTGATTTTCATCAGTCCTACGCCTTTGGCAGCCGTGACCTCATCCAGTCTGGCTACCAGGCCCATCCTGATAGCAGCATTTCTGGCCAGGAGGTTGTTGGCCATTTAGCGCTTCACCACCACCACTTTGAATGAGTATGTCTGGCCTTTGCGCAGGGTGGTGGCCCTAAACTCACCCACACACTGCAGTTCTCTCCAGGGCTGGTCAGGTGAGTTTGCGGCTTGGTCAGGATTGGTGGCTTCTTTACTGGGCCCCACATATCTTCACTTATCACTGACACCTCAGCTCCAGTGTCAATTTTGAATGTTATGGAGCTTTTGTTGATGGTCAGAGGAATGAGCCTGGACTTCTCATCACTTGTCTGGGAGTTCACAGCTCCCAAGAAAAATTTTGATGTTTGTCCACTCACTTGGCTTTCAGCATCATTGTCTTCAGTCACTTCTTCTTGTGCTGGGCGGCTACGACACGCTGGTGAGAAGTGGCCTAGTCGTCCACACTTCTTACATGTTTTCCCACTAGCTGGGCACTGACCTCCAGTGTGAGTGGTGAAGCCACAGCGACCTACTTTGTGTTCTTCCAGTTTGGCTCAGTTGCTTTGCCCCATGGCTTGCTTGCCTGTGCTTGGTTGGTGGGACGTCTGGATCTAGCTCTATTGTTGATGCGCACAGGGCACACCCCAGGTCCCTTTCCACACAACAGCTGTTGGCCCTTTTGGGCTGATTCCTCAAGGCTTGCAATCTCAATTGCTTTTCGCAGGGTCAGATCAGAGTGCTTCGGGAGCTGCATCCGAGTTGATGTCTTACTGAGACCCATGCACAGTCTGTCCCTGATCGCTTCATCAAGGTTTGGGCCAGACTTGCCTGGTGCAGTCGGGGTGCGGAGGGCTGAGATCTACTGCAGGACAGTCTTAACTGGTTGCTGGGCCGTCTTACGAAAGTTGCGCCTCTCCACAATTGGGTTCTCCGTTGGGATACAGAACTTATCAACTGATCAATGACCTTGTCCACGTTATAGGCTGACGATATTTCCAATTTTCAATTCCCTGACTTTCTATCAAGCTCATTGGCATCGTAGAAATTGCCAGTCCTGCTTCCATATGCGCCAAGTACTAGCAAGGGCTGGATCTGCCAAATTCAACTCAGGGGGCTTTCTGAAGGCAAAGATCGCAATTGGACCAAGGCGAAACTGACGCGGACTGCGGGGAGAAATCTCATGTTGTGACAAGTCGCACGGGGGAGAGTTCTACATAAAGACACACAGACGAGCAATCTCCATGAAAATATGTGGCGTCAGGTTATGCAGTCTATTGCATGGGCACAGGGGCGGATCTAGCCTGGAGTTTTTTTTTTTGGGGGGGGGGGCAACTGTTGGTCGCCAGCTGGCTGGTGTGGGATCCGAAGTCCAGTGCATGGTGCCTCTAGCGAGTGCCTAGTAGGCACACCATTCAAAACTGAAAAAAGCTGAAATGCTTTTGAATCTTAAACAGTTAAAACAAAACAGTTAAAACAAAGTTAAAACAGACGGTAAGAAGACGAAACTTTTATGAAGTTCTGGGAATGTTTGGGGGGGGGACATACTCTCAGAGGTTTGGGGGGGGGGGCATGGCCCCGTGCTCCCCCTGGATCCGCCTATGCGCGGGCATCACAAATCGACTGCACATGGCCGACCACCTCATGGCAAAGATGATGCATGCAGCTTGCTCCAATTAAACGTTGTAATGTGAAGATTGAGAAAGATAAAAGCAGATCAGAAATAACAGTCAATTCATTATATTCAAATGAGCACAAACACACTTCGGGAAACAAACAATTAAGGAGCAGCAGGGGTGTCTTTGGAAAGAACATAGACTAGATCTCCCACATCTAGAAAGAGAACAATTTATGTACATCCATTTACTGGGACTACTTTGAGCAACATACGGTATGGCAATTCCATTGTTTGCTTGCCTAGTGCGTGTCAAATCTCATCCACACCGTTCCCCTCTTAGTCAGAATACGTACTAAATATTCTCGAGCATGTGTTGGGTCGTTGGAATTATTTTGTCCCTTCCGCGCCACGTGAATGGCACTTAAGAAGTAAACTTCTAACTACACATGGGGGCGGCAGGGGGCTGGGTCAGCTCCCGCGGACCTCTCTCCGGATTCCCTTGATCGAATTGCAGGTATGCCAGGTGTGACTGTGGTCCGTTAATTGTGTTTCGCGAGGTGTTTTTGCGCGTCCTTTCTTCTGGGGCTGTGCTTGGACTTTGGACACCACTCAAAGAAGGTGGCAGTCGTGGCTTAAAGCTGTTTGATGCTGCTCTTTTGTCTAAGTTGGCTGATTCTGCTCTGTTTTCCAAACTTCATCAGCTATTTGAGCTCAAAATATCAAAACAAAAAAGTGGAGGGGGGCTACTATATAAAGAGGTTGTAAAGTTGCACACACAACCTGTCAGTAAACCTTGTGTATCATTGACACATCAAATGGAAAGACATGTTCAGAGATTTCATTTTTCAAACAAGCTTGTTATTTGAGTTTTAGGATTTGAGTGTTATTTTGTTGGCATGAAGTATGTATTTGTGTTTGAAATTGTAACACTTATCATGGCATGAGAGGAAGTACACAGCTGACAGCTGGGAATTGCTTCTGAGCACCAATTTTCCATGCTTCCAGGATATGGATCCTCAAAAGTGGGGTTATAGATTTGGGACATGACATGTTGCATGCTCAAGTCTATCAGGATAATGGAAGATTGGGGGAGGGGGGTTCTTCAACAAACTTCATGCCACCATCAGCTTTCAGTGTTTGTAAGGGTTAATTTCAAAAGGCAAGGCCATTTCTTGCTGCAGTGTTGAATGTATTTCTGTAAAAAGAAGTCACAAAAGCCATTTTGTTTGCAATTATTATTTTGCCAGGGTAATATCAACTGAAAATTTTTACCTGACATTCATTCCAGTGTTTTTTATCATCTGTTTTACATATTCTGTATTACTTCAGGTGGTATGTTTGCCAAAATTGTGTAAAATTAAATGTTTTGTCATCTGAATTTAAAATTGTGAACACTTGTCATCTCAAACTCTCTCTGATCATGCTCAAACTACCTGAGGTGAATATCCAGTGTGATGTATCACTTAGGTGGCCTTCTGCCAGTGTTACTGATATATTGTAAGCAAATGAATTGACTGTGTTAACATTGAAGAGTAGCTCCAAAAGTTCGCAATTACCTCCAAACATCAAGTTTTTTTTTGCAAGGAACAACTTGAATGAAAAGTCCATGAAGTAAGAAATATTTGGGCATGCAAACATAAGTGTTAAGGAATGGTAGTGTTATGAACATTAGTGACAACCTTTTCACTATGAAAGTTGGCACATGCAAACATTAGTGTTTATAAGCTTCTGCATACAATCATCTGCACTCACAAACCTATATGTATAACCTCCTGTAAGTGTGCAGACATCTAATTCCAACACATTCATGTAGCACATAAAATATTTGTCCATGGCATGTACTTTCAGCTTGAACTTTGATGGTGTGTAGCACATTGCTTCCTTTGATCCTGTTCCCTTAATCCATGTCAAGTCATTGATTACTGACTCATTTTCCCTGAATGAGCATTACAATGTTGATTTATTAACCCAAACATGTACTAAGCAAATGGAAGACTGCTGATCTTGGGCTCCCTATTGACTGGTCACCAAAAATGCATTAAGAATTACCAAATTGGTCATTTTATCAGATTGGATGAATCACAACCAACATGAACATTTCACCACTGATTGGATTATTGCTATAAATTTGGACATTTCCACCATGTGGACGTGTAACAAGTTGTCAACTGTAACACCTACTGAAGTCACCAAATACACAGAGGAAACATTGTGAAGGAATAGTTTCCACCAGACTGGCCGACATTCCATCAGAAAGGTAAAGCAAATCGCCAAGATATCATTGGAAATCAATAATTTGCGCTAAAATTTAGGACATTCAGCCTACTTACAAAAAGTGAAACCAAACTGGCATCAACTTGGGAATGTTTTGGTATGCAGAAGCCATGACGCACCTCGGAGTTGCGTTGTGAGATGGAGTCGCTGACTAGCATTGAGTTTCGTACGTACCTACACATTAAGGGACTTAGCCAACTGATGGGGGAGGGGGTGGGGCACAGGTCACATGTCCTCCCACTAGGCTCTGAGTGGCTCTCGGCACCATCAGCTCAAATAATTAAGGGCCCGACTGGAGGGTCCAAAGGGCTGGCAAGAGGACGACCCCGGGGATGAGGCCTGACCCTCAGAAACCAGTCAAAGGAACTCGTCGCCGCCGGAGGAACTCCCCCCCCCGCGCCTATGGGGGAGGGGGGGGGGATGCGGGGTTCCCAGGTCGACAAAGGCGTCTATGTTGGTCCAAGACCACCAATACTGAACAGTTGGCTCCGAGTCAGCTTGGACCCTGGGGTCCTACTTACGAAACATGGACACGGCCCGTGTCCGCAATTGTCACTGGAGGTCCCCTGTTTTGGCCGAGCCCCTGAAACAAGGTGACTTCCTGCATCAAGGCACAGAATATTTTACAGGGAAGCCTGTGTCGGTGAGGGGTTTCTTGTCGACCAAATACACATTTGCTGAAAAAGAACAATACGGGCCCTAAATGTCAGAGAGTCACTTGCATTAGTCTAGATTCTCTTGCCGGACATAAGGTGGAAATGCGATAGATTTCAAGTGAAATGGTCCACAATGAGACCATGGAAGGGTCTCGCCAGTTGCGAACTCTAGGATTGAACAGGAAGTATTCAGGGCCTTTAAATTCAATGCATTTTGGTGATTGCTTATGCCCTTCTGCCCGTGCTCGTAGGTTTTAGCCCCGATGACTGGTCGGTTCACTATGCCAGATTTTAACTGGCACCAATGGTGATGACGCTAGCCTTCTGGTGATAAACTGGCCGTTTCGGCTGGCTATTTCAGTCGGTGATCGAGATGCGTATGTTGGTGGTGGAATTGGGCATGATGTTGTCCGATTAATTTTGTCCACCGATTTTTCTCTGGGTCTTGGATAGTAACAAATACCCAAGAACTAAAGGTATAACTGTCCGGCCGAATTCCGCCGCTTCGATCGTTGACGTCACAAGTGTACTCGGCGCGTAGTCGTGAACGGTCGATGCATGCCTACCGCAGTTTGCTAAGCTTGTTTGTTAGTTCAAGGCTGCGAGGCCTTACATATCTTGGGTTGGAATAGAACTAGACTTCCTCTCTTCTAGAGACCACAATATCAGGTCCAAACCATATTATGCTGCACTTGGCTTGCGTCCCAGCTTAATGCATCTGGCTGAAAGGCCAGGAGGCAAAAGTTTTACCAAGGTTTCTCAGAAATTGTTCGCCTGATCAACCGAATTTGCGCGAACGTAAATATTCCATTGATGCAGCTTCAAAAAACTAAAACGAGAAGTCATAGCGAAATTAGAGGTCAAGATCGTGGCAAGGGTCTACAGACCTGTTGATTATATGTTACAGGGGTTGGACTGTTGGACAACTGCAGTGCGTTTCATCTCGTTAAAAAGTATATGCTGTCTGGCTAAATGAGGATGCTGTGCTGTTGACATGTTGATGCCATGGTGGGATCAGGTCAGGGCCATGCCATAGTTCAGCGGGACAATTTAGTTTATTCATGCAACAAATGCTTCAAAATATATTTACGTTTATTTTGTCTGTGTAATGCATCTGAAATGATGGTCACAAGGTTTTTGGTCAGTATGTAGTCAAGATGTAGGTGTGACGTCAAGATGGGGACACGTTAGGTGAACATGACGTAAAGTGAGGTAGTCGTGCGGTACTTGTTTCCAGACTACATGTCCCGAAGGAATCCAATATAACACTTATGATATTGTATCGGGTCATCTTAGTGCCAGAGGGATCAAAAACTGTTGTTTGTGTGGAATTACTTTTGTCCTTAAGATCCATTCAACAACTATGGATAAAATTATGGAGTTGACTTTGAACTTGCTGCGTCAATAGGAGCCGTTCTGATCATTTTCTGTGTGAAATGCAGCTTTATTTTCGAAGGGGTAGAGGTTTCAGCCTGCCAGCGATAGAGACGAAAGCAAACATTTTCATATCAGCTAAACAGCATCTTGTTCACAGAGCACCTTTATTTATGCGTGATGTTGGAATATTAACATGATTTCATCAATGCATAAGGCAGTCGAACAATGCTCGTAATCTAAACGTCAGTAGCAATGGGAATAAGCAACGGACTTGGTCACTGCATCCCTATTCCAAACAGCAGTCATCGTTGGCGTGGTGGCTTGCGCCGCGCTGGCACAGCTACTTGTGCAAATATCTATGCACAGCAACGCAATCCTTCTGGCGGTTCTTCTCACTGTGAAGACACGGACCTCCATCTTTCCATTTCCCCCTTTAGGCGCCCGTCTCTGGCAGATGGGAGGAAACAAGTAGAGTGTGCAGACAAGTATAACACAAGTAGAGTGTTGTAGTTGTTATCATCTACCAGTGACGACAAATTAGCCTTTATGATGCCTTTTATAAAATTAGACTAGTGGGACAAGTTAATGGGCCTGGACTCTAAAAGCACAATGGAACAGCTGCGAGAATTTCACATTTGATCACCGGCATTTGGATGGATATCATTTCATCATATCATGGCACATGGATATCATTTCTTTTCCTTGTCATAATATGTCTAATGTGCACATATACCCGATGAAGATGCTGTGATGGCGAAAAATGGATATGATATGGGTTCCACTCCTAAGCAACTATATGTAATTAAAATGGGATTTCCACCCAACCCTACCAATGAATATATACATCATTGCAACACATGGTGCAGCATCGTACGATGTGCTAGCTTTCATTAATGCCATGCCGAGATGCATGAAACTGATTTTTCTTGTTTTTGCGTTGCATGGGACCAAAAACAAGACAAGCCAAACATAAGTTTGACAGCATTTTCATTCTGAGCACACAAGTATATTTGCACTAATGGTAGTAAGATTATTTAAAGGTAACTTCATAAGTAACTTGAAGTGCCTTGATAAGTATTGGGGGTCTACCACCATCCACCCACCCCCAGCCCCCCAAATCTGACTTGAGCCCCCTGAATGTTCTTCCGACTCCCCCGTGCACATTAGAAAAAAGAGAAGAAAATACGGAGACAATAAAATACAGGTG